CAATTGAAATAGGATAAAAACTCTAAATTTCGAATAGAAGGACATTCTAATAATCGGGCTGTGCCGGTGGTGTAATGGAATGGGCGCATTGTCACCGAAGCATGGTCTCACGGATCAACTCTCGCTTAGGCCAGTTAAGCCTTCCATACCTCCGAGGTCGGTTAATTGCTAATAGACTCGTTTGAGAAGATAAAAGCTCTGACGTGTAGATCGTCTGGCCACCGTAAGTCATTGTATGGGCTACATACGCATTTAGTACATCACTACAGTTTTTAAAGGCACAGTTCACGAAAAAAATGGTTTCCGAGATTCCCCTATAGGATGAATTCGAGACGTCCTTGTATACCATATCTGGCGCTATCAGATCAGGAAACGGCCTAGTTAGGGAGTTATGAAGGCTCAAATATTGGTCCGTATGTGTGCGTGGACGAGTTTCACCGGCATTGTAGAGGCCGCACCGTTCACAAAGAAACCCATGTAGGAAGTTCAAACAACTCGTCATGACCCACCGCGACACCTAAAGGCAGTTCTGTACATTTTTGGCTTGATGTAGTCAGCTCTTTGGGTAATCGCAATAACTGATATATTGTCCGAATACCCCTTCCATGTTATTTCCGTTATGCTAATCTCGTCCAGCCTCTATTTTCCCTACTTTTGGCGAGCCTTATTTTTTTCGGAATTGACGAATTTTCTCGCTTTCTCCACTAACAATGAAATATTCCCAACTTATTTTTCCGCTTTTTGAATAAAAAGGGGTACCTTGAAATTACCGTGAACTGTGCCTTTAATGTAACACGAATGCACGTAGGCATCCCTCAGATGGGAGTGAAAAATTTATCTTTTTTTGGCTTCTTTTTTTCTCTGGGATGACTTGTACAAGAGTTGTATGAACAATCACTGCTTCCATAGAAGCTATTTCAATGAATTACAACTTCATAAGCCCTCTAAAAATGAAATGGTCGGCAACGAAAGGGAGAATAATGGCAGGTCAGAGAGATCGGTAAAAACTACAGAATACCAAAAAAGCAGGAGTTGTAGCAAATGGAAAAGATCAACAAACCGGATAAGTGCGCAGATGGCCACGAAGATCGCCATTCTCCACACTCGACACGGTGCTGCCTCATATTTCGTTTCTTTCCTCAAACCCTAGAACAACCGAATGGAGGTGAGCCATTGCTAAACACCGCCGGCCACTGAAAGCTTATGCGACAAGGATTATGATATCCCACTATAGTCCTGACGACAACTCTCAAGCGAAAATTGGGAACTTGTTAGGATTTTTTTCGAGGGTACCTGTTCGTAACCTGGAAATATGTGAAGAATTTAAAAAAAAAATTTTGCGGTTTTTTCAGGCAATCAAAATGTACCCAACTTCGATAACAAACGCTTCATTTTATAGCAGGAAGGGGAAGAAAATGAAGGGAGATCTATCTAACACTATAAACCCATGTTAAGAGCTAAGAAGAAGGGCTGGCGTTACTGAATCCCGTTTAGGGATACACCCGCACACGACTTTTAGTCAGAGTCGTAGTGGCGTTGAGTGCTTATGTAGCCAATGACTTGAGGTGGCCAGCCTATTTACAAGTCAGTGCTTTTGTCCTCCCAGAAGAATCTTGTACGGATTAACCGACCCTGAGGTGATGAAAAGCTCGGTCGGTCAAGACAGATATCGATCTGAGATCGAAACCCGTTACTATGCATGTGTGATAGTGCGCTACTTGCCACTACACTGCCGCCCCTCAGTCAAAGTTGTCGTGAAGAAAATGATCCTTTAGCTAATCGAAAGTCATAGAAATTGGCATACACAAGATTCCGATGGGCGTAACATCTTAGTGTTTGAATAAGGACTAGGAAAATGCATAACTCTCTCTGTTCTCGTAAAAACTAGAAGCTCTTGAATATTGTCAACACTGTAAAATTTCTGTACTGTAAGAAAAAGCTGCAATTTGTATTTGAGTTACAATTTTCTGTTGGCTAGGAGGAAATTCGATGTTTCTCCATTCAAAAAGCATAAAAGGCAGCAATCGAGACGTTTTTCATTCCATTACGGCGTTTGTCGCAAGGTGGTGGGCTCGTGAATATTCTAGCCTCGTCAGAATACTAATGAACGATTAAAAAGAATACAGCCTTTCGAACAATCGTTGCAAGGAATTGACACTTAGCGGGCCGAAACTTGCTGAAGGAACATCTGCTAGATATTCTATTTGTAATTCTGGTAGCTAACTGTGTATTCAACCGTGGACTCTTCAAAAACCTCATCGAAATGGGCACTTTCTTCCAATAGGACAAGTCGATGGGTCACTTGATTTCATTCTGGGAATAGGCCATGCAGCCACCGCCTGTTAAAATCATCTCTAATCACTAAAAAATCAGAGTAAATGAAGATGAAAACGCGAATTAATTTTTTGAGATAAGCTATGCATCCTAGTTCTCGTCGTTCTCAGAATAGTAGTGACCCTTTATTACGTGAAAGATCTAAATTGATCGTAATCCTTCCCACATTAGCGAGTGATTTCAAGCTAATAGCAATATCACACACCGCAATATCATATCCTGGTCCATCCACTATGGAAATGAATCATTATAACCCTATGTTTTTACCTCAATGCAAGGTAGACTATTGAAATCCAGTCATAGTCACTTCACTGTAACAAGTTCGAAGTCCTCTCATCTTGAAACCTCGGCAATTCTGTTGCCCTGTTCTGTTGAATTGTTAATTTTGCTCCTGCCTCGAGGTTGGTAGGTGGAAGCTTCTATTATTTATTTTATTTTTTTCGTTTCTCGTGCATTCCTAGTAGAACGTCAGGAACATTAGAGCGGAAGAAGCGTTTGTTGGGGTAGTGTGCAATCAGCAAGCTTTGAACCATTTTCAGGCATTTGAAAACGACGAGTCCNTCTAAACGTTGGCCAGAATAAAAATTTCTATCTATACCAACCTCGAAGCAGAAACAAAATTAACAATTTCACTTCATTGTGGTAGACTAGTTGTAGACTTACAACAGGACAGGGGGCATGGGCATGACTGCTCTTGGCCGATTACGGTCCATAGGACCGTATTCTCCTTCTGCGCCATTTTTGTCCTTGAAAATGATTAACAGGCTATCCATTACAGGTCATTAAGGAAACCCGTGGAATCCGCTAAATTTTGAGTAACTCCCTCATAAAAGCTTCAAAACTGTCACATTTCAATGAGACCCTTGTCATAGCTTTTGTTGGTCGAACGTATAATTTCATAAGCATTTATGGACATTGAGCAAAAATAGAAATATACATAATTGCATACACATATATATGAGTAAAACTAAGTGAATAAATGAAACCCTGAATGAAAATAAAACCGATTGGTTGATTGACTTTGTTAGAATATAGTTCAATTGTGACGAATTAAAGCAATGTATAGATGGTCAGCAGAAAATTCAGTCTGAATCGGTGAAATGTCGACATTCGGCGGTAATTTTGCCGTCAAACATTGGTAGGACAGCGTCTTCATCTGTGATCAGACTCCACTGGAATGGAGCCGAACCGTCCTCACAAGTGCTTTTGAATAGAAACCTGAACATGAAGATCTGGAGGTGAAGAGAACATGAAGAAGGTAGAAAAATCATTCAGATGAAGTGAGCTGCAAGCATTGAGCTGGTCTCTAAGATACGCCGTGCATTCGACACTATCAAAGAGTGGTCAGGTGTTTTAACTGAATGCGACAGCTAACGGCGAAACTTGTTCGTAAAGAAGCGCAGATATTGGGACTTCGCTTCGAACTTTGACGACTGGAGATGTTAAGGTTTTCGCTTGAAGTTTGCAACCCTCCCTTCCCCTTCTCTGTTCTGATTTTGATTAGTACGCCCTGACTAGCTCGCTATCTGAGAAAGCCTACATGTTGTACCGTAGTCTTCCTGAAATTCATATATAGTAGGCTTACAGAGACAAAAAAAAAGAAAATAGAATAGGCGGTGATGATAGCGATTTTACCGCGATCCCCTTTTAAGCCACATTGAAGCTAGATCCGGTCACAGTACTCCAACCCGTAGGTGCAGATAACTGCATTAAGCATTTCGGAAAACAATCAAAGAACATGAGCTTATCAAAAGGTGTCCCGTACCGTCTGTTCTCCGATCGAGCAATGCCAAATGTTCGACGGAATCGTGCTAGTGTGATTAGTTCCGATGGGATCTTTGCCACCATGGGTGGCTGTCCATTCTCTCGTAGCACCAATGTCAACGAAGGCGCTATAGTTCGGAACCTGCAAACGCCCTTCATATTCTATCTGCATCAAATGCTACTTACAAAATTTTATATGGATCCATTATCTCGTTTCCTAGGAGCAATGAATTGACCTACATCAAAGTACTCAATCCCAAAGGCACAGTTCAAGATAATTCCAATGTGTCTAACTTAAATGAAATAATGGAAGTTGTGAAGCAGAACATTGCAGTAAGGACGAAAAAACGTCATTTTTTACAGCGTCAAAATCGGAAATTTCAAGTAATATAAGGCATCAAGAAAGTTCTAAGAAGGGGGGAGGCTGTACGAGTATCTGTGTTCGTCTGGGTCCTCCACATAAGCGCACTATTCGTCGGTAGCCTAACGCGTCATTGTAATCGTGCAGCCTCAGCAAAGCAGTCATAACACGGCTACCTTTGGGTATGTACGGAGGCCAAACCGATTCGGAGCTTTTAAAACGCCCTATCGAGGTCGCTTCTCAACCCGAATGAGTCTTATGTGCTATCACAGGGGGTCTGTCTGGGTCACAGGTTCATCATAAAAGGAAATCTCAGAAATTATTTTTATCGTGAACTGAGCCTTTAAATAGACAAGTGACTTACTGTAATGTGGCGAAGGCATTCTGTGCAGGAATCGATGGGTGCTGCCTCCTTGAGAGGCTGTTCGATCCCAAATGGTGCGGATGGAAGTCGAAGCCTGAAAGAATCGCCGGCTCATGCAAGATTTCCTGTATTATGACTTATTACATGTCGAGTGCTTTAAGCGATACGCTTTGAACTAGGTTGGGTTCCTACAATATTCCTTTTCAATATATTTCTAGGCCTTTATGCGAAGTTGTCCCCGATGAAGAGTGCTGTAGGCACAATGGGTAGGCTTGTCTCGAGATGCAGCAGTTAATACAATACAAAATTTGTTGGAAACCCGAATTCCGAACTTTTTCCAAGAATGAAGACTGTTTTTTTTTTGAAACGACACACTCACTCATTTTCTTTCTTCCAAAACTCCTATCCGACAAATAGGCGCTTTCCGAGCTGCAGAATCCACTCGAATCAGAGAATCGGTAGTCCATCGATCTGAAATCGAAAATATAGGACTCAAAAAGTGAGAGATAGCCAGTACTGCCTACTTGTTGGACGTCGGGAACGGGGGAGGGGCTGGCACATTTGGAAACGGAAGTTGTAAGCTCCGAGGTGGTGATGCAAAACCATTGTTGAATTGATTCACCCTGGTCTGTCGAAAGTCGAACAACACTGGTGAGATTGACTCTGGAAAAGATTATAAACGAAACCTTTTCGAAATCGTTTGCCTAAAAGCCTGTTATTACCTACCTGATCGACAACGGGCTCCCTCTATTCGTCCGACGTACTTCTCCACTTCTTCGTCACTTGTCGTTTCCTCAAGAATACGACTGTCGTGCAGTGACGGCAGCAAGGAGCACACTGCCAGATCTCTTGGCAAATCGCTGGAAAGCCATTCTCATTTCGGGTTCCATGCATAGAGGGTTTTATTCTCCTACCGTGCATAGGTGTTTTCGTCGCATCTTTCAAGCTCTTTGCTAATTACATCCAACTTTTCTGACAAGACATTAGCAAAAGCTTCACGTGCTTCTGGAAGATCATGTCGGATAGACCCATCCGTGTGCTGGAAAGTGGAGTGATTCAAGGTAGGTGGGGTTCACTCGGAAGTTGCTTCTTTAACACTCTTACACCTACTTTGAAGACATTCCGTTCACGATCCACTGCTATCGGTCGGGATGAGTCCTCGTTGTCACGACTAGACGACGCGTCACACGAATAGGCACGGGTTTTTGATCTGAAATGAATAAAATTTTATGGTTTTTTTNTTTTTTTACAAAGGAAGTGAGCTTTTTTTCAAGATTGCCCGAGAAGGAGTCGACTAACCTCGCCAACCACGCCCTTTTCCAAGCCCCGCCCCCGCATCTGCCCCGCCTCCCGATGAGTGCGTAACCGATGATGAGAACGTGAGAATGAGAAGCGTGCGATTGCGATGCGGCAAAATCAGCTAACCAGACCGATACCTGCGTATCAATCTGTTCGGATGTCAGTGATTGCCGTAGCAACTCGACTACGTACTTCTCCCACTTTTTTACCTGTCGTGTTACCCAACCTTATACGATTTTTTTTAGATTCGCGATCGGAATTATCCACTAGGATAAGAAGTGTTTCATCAGCACGAAATGGAGATGATCTTAAGCGCGGTATCAACGGACTTACCCTCGAATCCTCTTTGTCGGTTCGCGAATCAAGGTTGATGTGGGCGCGAGATATGGATATGGCAAGATTGGGGCGTCATCCGTCGGCGTTGCCGCGGAAGATCCTTCACTGCCATTTCTCTCCATAAACTTGAAAATGAAACCATTTCAGGGAGAAAGTAATTTTTGATAACATCTAGCATTTCATTGATCTTACAGCTTCTAAAAAATGCAATTAAGACTAGGGCTCACCGCCATAAAACTGTCCGAGGTGACAAACTGCGAATGTAATTCATTGAGTTGTTTGCGGAGAGCCGGTTGGACCGGATCGAAGAGCTCCGGATACGGTGGATTTTGACTGTTGAGCGAATGAACTCGTATCGACATCTCTTTTCGTACGGATGATGGCAAAAACGAGCAAGTTCCGGTGCGCTGACTGAAGGATCAGAATAAATAAAAATAAACAGAGAAAAAAAGCAATCGACGTCGATATAATAGAACAGATCATAGATCAAGTAATCAATACTGTTTTCAAAAGGTATCGGGTTTTTGAGTTGTTTTTTGGGTTGCCCACAATCAAAGTCTAGAATGGGGTGTCCATCCAGAGAAACAGCGAAAATCGATTACAGGAGTAACAATTCGACTCAAAACACTAAAAAAACAAAGAATTTGCCTCAATCAAAAATGTTGAGTATGTTTTTTGATTTGCATTTAGCTGTAACAACGGAGAATACATTCTCCAACCACATGAACGATCTATCGCCCGAAATGCTCAAAGGCACAGTTCACGACGATTTTGAGGTAGCCTTTTCCGAGTGAATAGCGAAAGTGTTGGGGCGGATGATGCAGCCTCTGCGGTGCCGATGAAACTCGTCCGCCTTTAGGCGTTGACGTCGACGAAGCCGATTTACGAGCCCTTAATGTGCCCTATCTGGACGTTGTTTGGGCCAACAGCCCCCATACGGCATGCTTGGTGACCACAAATCCTCCCTAGTTGAAATCTCGAAAACAATTTTTTCACAAACTGTGCAGTTGAGATATCCTCCTATTTTCTTATGTTCCTTCTATTTTCTCATTCTCAGCTTTTAATAGGATCGTGACTGAAATAATGAATTTTATGACTATTTTATGGCTCTTATTGCAAACTGTAGTTCGTTCTGATAAGAGGGAGACAAGCTGGTTCTGTTTGCTAAAGAGACAGGGCAGCTGCCATGCATGAGAATTGACCCATCATTGTCGTCACTAAGGAGTAAGACCAGAGTTTGTAGGTTTGTCTCGAAGAAAATTGTCCATAAAATTACATTTGAAGGGAAACAAAAATAAAATTTTGAACGAACACCATGAGCGTGGCCCACCCGAGAGCACTAAAGGAAACTACTCTTCTCCGTCTTCTACTTTTTGCTCTTGGTATTGACCTTTTTTATACAGAATGAGCTTCACCTTATGAATTTACGATGCAATGTACATGCCATACTGGATGTGTTCGGTTCATTTCTGCTGAGATACGTCTGATATCCCTTGATAGCGAAATGAAGGGCAAGACAATCAGCCGGTCGTGAAGCATCCTGAACGAAAACGAAGTTCCGGCAACTTCAGAGCTTTTCTTCCGATGAAATAGAAATGTGTCTGATTCACTTACCAATCGAATCCACTCTCGGAATGCTTGTAAAGCGGCTGCATCTTGCAAAACGGCGTCGACGCTGGACGAGAAGGAACATTCGTCCATCGCCATCTGCGAAATCTGGAATTCGGTGTCTGCACACTAGACACATTCTACGACATTCAGTGGCAGAAGAAACGAATTTTAAAGTCTCGTCAATGTGTGATACAGTAACGCGAAGACGCACTCAAACGCCCTCCAAACACCCATCACATATATTATATTTATCATATATCACACTCGCTACAAAAAGGTACCGTGGCCGAGGTTCACGAGGTGGGGCATTGGGGGTTACTGTATTACAGTATTACACACCCACGGGACCTTTAAATCTGACTTATCAGCGGCAGCATCATTCCGAAGCTTTAAAAGAAAATAACAAAATAAGTAATAAAATTAACGAAACACGGGCAGCTTTGTGGTCTCGTCACATACACATGAGACGTGGGACCAAACCACACCCACAACCCCCCCCCTTTCCACCCCCCTTCCCTCCCAGTTTTCCCTTTAAAGTTATTTGGCAGTTTTCCCATTTGAAGGAACAGATCATCAGTTAGAACATCCGTCGATCCTCATTAACAATTAAAATTTCAAAGGTAGCCCAGAGGTCTCAAATGGGAGTGAGATCCGGGAGATATCCCAACAGGCGTGTGATGGACGCCATCAAAGCGTTAGCGCAGTAATTGCTAGTGTTACCTTTATCAATCAGGCATGTCAAAGGCTAATCCTGGTAGTACAGAGGGTGGATATTTGGTACAGCAATTATGTAAATAAGGGGTGATTTGAGCAGAATCACGGCGAACGGAAAACGGAACAAACAAAACATATCGAAATTCTTTCCGAGACCAGACATGAGCTCGATGCTTGAATTTCTCTCGAAAAAAAAGCAGCTGGTCAAAGTCCCTACTGCAAGATACTTCCCGTGAGGCCATCACCTTTTCTGAACTCTCCACAAAGCTGTAGTTGTACATGATGCAGTATAGACATGAACTATGTGTGTATGAAAGTGAAAAGTAGGACAAAAGGTGTGAGAAAAAGAAAAGGTTCCAGTTTGAACATGAAGGCAATGGTTGTGCAAGTCAGTTCACAACGGAATTTCAGTCAAACGAGTTTTCGAGATAGCCTTTCGAAAGATGTAACAGCCCTTTGCATTGCACTGAATTCCGTGAAGTCCTGGTTCTTGCACAGAACGAGTTCTCATAACTCATAGTGGAACAATTGCTTTTCCACGAAAGTGGCCCACATCAATAAGTCCCGAATAAAAAATAAAGTTTCCATGAGACCGTAAGGCACATGTTTGGGGATCTGTGGAGTTCGGACAGAAAAGTTTCCTCGAGATGAGTTCCCTAACTATTCAAGGCATAGGATGAGTGGGCGATGTTAAAACAATGATCTGTTGCACCTCAGGAAAGGTGGCGGAGGCTGTGATGGTGATAGAGAGAGGGTGGTTGGATGAGGATGCGATCGGAGGGCGAAAAGATGGTGAGATTTGTCACCGCGCGAAGCAGTTCCCAACAAAAACAGCGCTAGTGCATTAGAGATTGATGGATGGAGTGAGGCTGAACGAGCGGGAAATGAAAAAGAGGAGGAAGACATTCGAAGCAGAAGGCAAGGCTACAGGGATTTGCGAAGTCGTTAGCTGCTGATGAGGCAAATCAGAGGCAGCGATAAAAGGAGGAAGTGCGGTGAAAGTGTCATCGACGGATGACGGCCAGAACACCGAGAATCTGCTCGGCAAACACTACAGGTGTTTGAGCATGATTGGTTATTAGAAAGCCGCACGAGGGGAGCAGTGGCGTTGGCGGTCAGTTCACTCAACGTGGCTGGTCGCCAAAGACGCACCGACGCCTTTCCGACTGGGCCGCGAAAAGGCGCCGCCTGGTGTGCCGGCGATTCGAATCTTCCCCACAGCCCGAAGCTCCCCTTTTTGCACCTTGTCGCGACCCGTGTGCGTGCGTGACCGACTAAGGTCGTCGTCGTCGGTGATGAAAAGCCGCCAGACATTTGAACATCGCCCAAATGGAACATCAAATCGATTCGACGAATCGATAAAAACCTGGCCACTAAAGCAGTAAATCGAAAACTTCTCTTTAACGTCTTAACGAGGAACGGAAGTAGGTACACTGGCAGAGGGCAATGCTGCTGTGCCGCAATCAATGGGGGGTTTGATTGAGGAGAATCGAACCGCTCAATGTTCATATAATCAGCCCATCAATCCGTTTCTTTTCGACGGCGACGANGAACCATTAAGCACTTCTCACTCAGAAAGTACTCTCCCACGCAGAGAACCCAGGGTGACAGCATACAGCAGTAGGAACACGATTTCGGGGAAAAAACTCCAGTTTGGGGATGATTTACTGAGTAGTTGGAATAGAATGATGACCCAATTAGTCAACTGAAGAAAGACAAAAGGGCTAAAAAATGTACAAATCAAAGTATGGATGATTTTAAGTCTGGGTGATGGTAATAACAGCTATAGGGTATGATTTTCATCTGACTGATCACTCTGGGAGTGCTGTGATATGTGGATTTTTCATTTTCAACAAAAGACTTGAGATTTGGGGGAGAAAAGTGAAGCGATGGGAACAGAGGTGAGGTTGGTTGGATGGGTTAACCGTGAAGAATGTTATGCGTCTTACACAAAAATCGAATGGTGGCGGTCTACGAGGAGCGGACGAAAGACGATGAAGTGGCCGTTTTATGACTGGAAACAAGAAGTATTGAGCGATCAAAACGCCACTGATAACTGAGTTCGTATCACGGGGAGACCCGACGGGGTCGGCAAGATGAAAGCACATCAAACGAAGCCGCCACTGATGCCGCAACATCTCCGTAAACCCCCCTAAAATGCTAATGAGGTCAAAGTCTCTTCCCGTCATTCAGTTCCCTTTCGAACGAAAATTTGAAGACAACCCTTTTGAGCAAATAAAAATGCAGGGGGCTGTTTTATGGCATTCAAGAGAAAGCGATAAAAATAGCTTGAGACTTGAGCAGAGTTGAACGGGCATGAGACGCCCTCGACCGAATGGACCGAATGATTACCTCAGACAGGATTCCAAGCGTTTTGTAAGAAGATCTTGGCACCAGAAAGTACAAATAACCCGAGGACGCAGCCCTCATCTGAGGTGATAAGATGCCTAATCATTCCGTACGATTGATTGTCCCCGGGTCCCAGTCACTACTTATAAGGTCAACACCCAGTAACTGCTACTGTTGATTGTAGGAATTTCCCACTTGAGAAAAAAACTTTACTAGTCTTACAATCTCGTTCAAGATTATAATCAATTACAAGGCGAAACGAGTAGGGGAACCGCCGTCTTCAGGCACCGACATTCCAGTGACTGTGAACGTTTCAAAAAGCTTATGGGAGGAATTCACTTTCAACTTAACTCGGCCGGATTGAAAATATGGCAACACGCCCGTCCTGAACACACATCGACGCTGGGATCCAGCAGATGCAGAGTGAAATGGGTCATGGAGACTGCCTACGGCTTGATTAAAGTAAAGGTGCTTCTGTTTCTGGGGCTTTGAGGGTGTCAGGTGCCAACGTACACATATCAGATGGCGAGAGAATATCTAGACATCTGTTCTGGAAGTCTGAATGGAATTGAAGGAACCCATTCACGTAGTGAAGGTTTTAGATCGCCATGAGGTCTCTGCTCAGACCTTGTGAGCTATTGTTGAGAACTTTGAATGGGGTAATTTGTGCTCGTTTTTCCACTCACCACCTCAAGCTGAAAATCTTAAGAGAACAACTAGGTGTAATACCGATACTTTACGATAGTATATTCGTATCCTCATCTTGGTACGCAGTATCATTTACCACAAGGTATATTTCATTTGGACGGAGGTGGTGTAGTGGCAAGTGAAGCACTATCACACACGCATGGTTACGGGCACGAATCCCGTATCGATGCCCGCCTAGGCTAACCAAGCCTTCCAACCCTCCGAGGTCCGGTAATTGGTAACAGACTTGTCTGGGAGGATAAAAGCACTGACTTGTACATCGGTTGGCCACCGCAACTCATTGTATAGGCCACATGAGCATTCAATACGC